AGTGCTAACCCACCAAATTTCATTCCATAATTCCTCTGTTTGACTCTTCATAAAATAAAGATTATATTTTAGCAAATCTCGTTGATCCAAAATTGTCAGCCATAGATCTCAATCATCATAACCCTACTTGACCAATCAGACATCACAATTGTGTTCAAAGACCTAAAAAACCCTAGCACATCGAATTTCATGGCTAGATTCATCTGTTTGACCATTAAACTAGAAAGATACCATTTTGACACACCATATTAAATCGCCACATCATCTGTCCTAACTTGAAATCCTAAAAGGGTGATACCTGATGTCAGACTCATTCTCAACCCATTATAACACTTGGACCAATGAAATCGAGCCTAATAGACCCAAAGAGTCCAAAAATCCAAAGATACCCCACTTAAAACTAAGAAAAGAAAAAATAACATTTAAAAGTTTATCAAATTTATGTTTTTTGCCATTGTCAGCCCCAAATACGGGGCTGCAATGTCTGGCACGCCTCAATCTCCCATTGGATGCACAAAACCCATGAAAACCACCCCCAAATCAAAGAAAATGTTTCACCAAACAAGTAAACTTGACTGGCATTTATTTCTTTGAAGAATCTTTACCTATTTTTGTAAAAAACCTCTATTGAATCCCAAGCATTGTAGATGATCAAATTCAAACCTGCCCCTCCCTTTCTCTACAAATACTGATCTAATTCGAGCTCAAAGAAGGGGAGAAGGGGGGGAGTGAAGAAAGGAAACCTGAGAAAAGCCCCTAGAGAGAGACAAAGAGAAAAAGAAAGAGAGAAGAGAGCTTTCTCCTAGCCCAATCCTGCCTCCTATTCACCCGAAATTGATAGGTACTCCGAACCTCAAATTCCAAACTCACCTCCTCCATCTTCAAGTGGAAATTGTTGCAACCAGAAGTACTCCCTAGCTCAAGAACCCATATAAACTTCATTATATCTCATCCTTAGCTGCTGGAAAACTCCCGTCAAGGTACATACAAAAGGTGTCTTCTTTAGTCTTTTTAGGTTGCTTGAGGTTCTGAAATGTTGGAGAACCATCGCTTGCAATTTCTTCTTGACTGAGAATAGAGGCAAAGAGGCAAGGGTCTTAAAAAAATCAGTACCTAAGACCCGATAACATCACTTTAAAATCAGTCTTAAGAGAAGTTGAAAGTATGTTTCTTCATATTTAAGAAATTCCTGCAACCATTTTTGTTCTTCTCCAAAAGAAACTGAGCCTGAACAACTCCCATATTGGGCTGCTACGGCATTGGAGAAAGGAGTGCCTAATACCTTCTCTCTCCCAATCCTTGGGACCCGAAATCTCTCGGTTGTGTGCCTTTTCCATAGATGACGGAGTTACTATCAAAAACTTAAATCGAGTTTTTCAAATCTAAAAAAGAGGGCCTATTTCCTCTAAAATAGGGTGGTGACTCCATCTCTTTGAGCCGGCCATGGCTTCCCAGAGCTCATAGTTTGGGTTTAGGATTTATGGTCTTTTGGTTTTAGTGATTTGGATTTAGTGTTTAGGGTTTAGGGTTTATGGTTTTTGAGTATATAGTTTAGGGTTTTAGTGTCACTACAAGAAAAATGGATTTTAGTAATGGACATATAGTATGTCTATCACTATAAACAACTCTATAGCGACAAATTTAAAGCTTCATCACTAAAAATACACTATTTAGTGATAGAAAATCTCTCTGTCACTATAAAGAGACTATAGCAATGGATGGTTGAGAGCTCCATCACCAAATCTATATATGTATATATATATAAACAAAGCGGTCAAAAAATTTTCTCCTTTTTTTGAATTTTTATTTATTTTTATTCTATATCATTTTTGAAACAACCAATGAGATGCACTTTCCCAATAACCTAAATAATCTCTTCTCCTAAATTTACTTCTAAACTACCTCCCCCACTTTCTACAAAATTGTCTCTAATTTCTATTTATCTTCTAAATTATTTCTAATTCCTATTTATCTTCTAAATTATCCCTAATTTACTAGAGAGTTTCTCTCCTAAATTATCTCTAATTCCTATTTATCTTCTCCCATACTTTTTATCTATATTTATCTAAAGAAAGTTTGGATTAAAAAATTTAAGAATTATTTAAATATTCTAACAAAATTATATAATAACTTTAAAATATTTATTAAAAACACAAAAAATAATTTTATATTTTTACAAAATATATCACAAAATTATGTACTAACAATTTAAATTATATTTTTCTGGATTATCAATTTAAATAATTTAAATGTTTTCCGGATTATCAATTTAAATAACTAAATGTTTATCATAACTATATTTTAAGTAGTTAAAATAACAAAATTATGTAATAAATTTAAAAAGTTAATAAAAGTAGAAAAATAATTATAACATAATATTTAAATTAATAATAATTTAATGTATTACAAAATTAATAATGAAATTATGTAATAAATTTAAAAAAAATCTAAAAAGTAGAAAAAAAATTATAAAAATCATAAATCTAATTTTGAATTTTATATTTTAATAATTGTACTATAATTTTTAAAATTAAATTAAATTTTTAAGTTTTAATATTTTGAACAAACTGACCAAACCAAAAAATCGAGCTAAATGGATACAACTTGAGTGAGTTGGTTTTCACAAAAGGTTTGTTGGTTTCAACTAACCAACTCCCTAACCTGACCATGTTAATTTTGAACAGACTAAATCGAACCAACTCATGAACACTCATAATTTCAGCTAACTTAATAGTCTTATCTCTGATAAATAACAATAGTTTAATCTCCAATAATTATTGAAAATTTATAGCAAAATACACAACTATTAAAAATATATTTATAATGAAAATACAATAATTACAAAAATTACAAAAATACAATAAGTACTAAAAATATATTAACATAGTCAATAAATAGTATAATCTCAAATAATAGTTTAATCTCTAATAAATATTAATCAATAACTTATATCAAAAAATAGAATAAATACAATAAGTACAAAAAATTAAATTTAGAAATTTCAATAATAGTAATTTAATCTCCAATAATTATTGAAAGTTTTCTGTTAAATAAAAAAGAAATAAATTTATACATAATCATTGAAAATACATTTATCACAAAAGACAATAAATATTAATTTTAGTATATATAATTATATAATAAATACACATTAAGAGTTTAAAATTATTATTAATAAATATTATTTTTTTGGAAAGTTATTTTCTCAAATTATTACTTGATATAAACTAAGAAATATGGGAAAATTCTCACTTTTCTATATTAAAAATTATTTAAAATATAAAATATTAATATATATCCATAGTTAGGTCATTCAATTTTGGTCGGTTTACAAATGGCCAAAGTGAAAATGATCCAACTTGGTCTAATTGGGAAACTTTTAAACCAAAGCTAACCTAAAATACTAGAAAACCGACCAACTCGGGTCGAGTTAATCAGGTTGGTCGGTTTCATTAGTTTGATAAATAAACCTAACTGAAATTAAATATTGTTATTTTTGTATTATAAAAAAATTATTAAAAGTAGTATATAAAATATGAATAATTATTAATTATTTAAAAAGTTGAAAATATAAAACAATTGTATACTCCTATGTGTTTTTATTAGGGTCATTTATTAAAACACACTTTTAGGGATGGCAGCAATTTCCCCATCCCCGATGGGGAAGTCTGTCATTTATTAGAACACACTTTTAGGGATGGCAATTTTCCCCATCCCTAACAAGGACCCGGCTTCCCCAACCCGATGGGGTTAGGGATGGGGATTGTTTTGACAGGGTGAGGGCGAGGACAGGGATTAATAGGAATCCTTAGTTGAGGTCGGGATCGGGGATGGAGATTGAGGTCCCCGTCCTGCCCCGACCCCGGTTATATATATATAATATTAAATATTTATATTAAACATACTATTATATTATTTATATTATATATCTCAAAACATATTTAAAACATTATTTATAATTTAAAAATTTTATTATTTTAAATAAATTTATTTAAAAAATACTATTATCTGAAAACATTTTCGGGATTTAGGTCCCCATGAGGAACCCATCCCCGTCGGGGATCGGGGATGGGGTTAATTTCAGAATTGGGGTCGGGGACGGGGAATATGATACCCGCCCCATTGCCATTCCTACACACCTTATAGTTTTTTATATTTACTTAAACCTACCTTATAGTTTTCATTTTACTAAAACATCCCATATATTTTACAACTTATTTATTTAATTAACCTTTCATTAAGAAGTGTTTGTTTTGCCATTAGGCCATAAGTTTTTATTCTAAAAATACCCTTAACACTATTTTATATTAAAAATAAAATTGACCAAATATAACCAATAGAGTGATTGCCCGTATCTTAGGGTAAAAATTAGGGGTGTTCATGGGTCGGGTTGGGTTGGTTTATTGGGGTTTTCCCAACCGACCTGACCTGGTCGGGTTACCTGAGGTGGAAACCGAAACCGACCCACTGATAGGCCAAATCGACCTGGTCGGTTTGAATCGGGTTGGGTCGGTTTGGGTCGGTTTCGGTTTTGCTCTTGTACAAAAGGACACCTAATTGAATTCTAATTGTAATTGTCTAATGGGTTGCATATTTGGTGTAAAAGATTATAGAAAGTTAGAAAGTATGATAAATTGCCTATTCTAATTATAATTGCCTAATGGGCCTTTTAGTTCTAGTAGAAGACTAGTTATAGTTAAATAGGAAACTATTCAAACTAGGAACTACCGAACTAGTAGAAGACTAGTTCGGTTCGGGTCGGATTAGTTTCGGTTTTTACACAAGAAAACCGAAACCGACCTAATATATCAATTTATATATTTGCCCAACCCAAAACCGACTGATACTGATGAAAACCCAGTTGACTCAGGTTGAATCGTTCCGGATTGATCAGTTTGGTCGGATTGGGCATTCTTATGAACAGCCCCAGTAAAAATGATATCTATATCTGTATATACTTATTACGCAATGGGTGTTTTCTCCTTGCGCTTCTGACTTTCCTGTACGTTACGTTTCATGCGAAGAACACGTTTCATGTGGAGCGGCAGAGCGTGTCTCATCAAGACTCATTTACTTGCGAAGGACACGTTTCACACTCCCAGCTTATTCACGCGGACAAGGCGGAACTACGACGTCTTCCTGAGTTTCAGAGGCGGAGAGTCCAACAGTTACTTTATCGATCACCTGTACACTACTTTGGATGAAAGGGGAATCCGCACCTTCAGAGACGGACCAACTCAAGATAGGAGAAAACATATCTTCAGAACTGCTAAATTTAATAGAAGAGGCAAGGGCATCGATAATTGTTTTGTGGAATGCAGGAACACAGGAAGCCGGTTGGTGCTTCCTGTTTTCTTTGATGTCAATCCGTCGGATGTTCGGAAACAGAGCGGGAGTTATGAGTAAGCATTTGCTAGACACAAAGAAGAGTATTACAAGGTGGGGAAGATGAAGGAGAAGGTGCAGAGGTGCAGAGGTGGAGGACAGCTCTCACCGAAGCTGCCAATTTGTCCGGGTGGGATGTATGAAATGCTAACAAAAGGTAATTCTGAATCAGTTCCCGTCTGCTATTTGTTCTGGCAAAAATTATATGATAACCAGATACTCTGGTTCCCTGTCTATCTTCCCGCTCTCTCTCTCTCTCTCTCTCACCACTTCCTCTGAAAACTGGGGACCTTTGCTCCTGCTTGGCTTCTGTCTCGTCTACATCGGTTGCAGATCAGGTTTTCAAGTTCAGGCCGAAGACACGAGCTTGCAGCTAACGACAGAGGCCCTGGAATGGCCTTCTACTGCTTGGCTTCTGTCTCGTCTACATCGGTTGCAGATCAGGTGTTCAAGTTCAGGCCGAAGACACGAGCTTGCAGCTAATGATAGAGGCCAGGAATGGCCTTCTACAATGCCATTCGATGATGAGTGTTGGTGCTCGGATTGACTTTGAGGGTTCGGAGAGGTTGCTGCCGAGGACGAGGTATGCAGGCCGAGGCGGAGGAGGCTCCGAGTACTGCGGAAGCCAAAGGCAGGTGGCCAAGGTAACAGAATATGTCAGAGGCCCCGGGTGAGAATCCGAGGCAGAGTCTCCGACGGTCAACTTAGTTCGGGGGTACGAAGAGGGGACTAGAATATAGGTTTGAGACCAGTTCCAAATCCGGATGTCTATTGTGTTAGACCCCTCCCCTTACATGAGTGCCTAGAGATAGGTGGAGATGAACGCTCGTGGGCTGGGTACGATGGTGGGAGGACGACGACATAGATGGTGGGATGAGTCGGAGGTCTCTGTTCTGGAGGACGACTCACTACTACATTTCCTACGGTGCTCTCTCCGCCAATAGGATCCCATGCTCACCTCGCTCCGGGAGGTCGTACTACACTCATAACTGCTACAAAGCTAGAGGCCCTGTCCATCCATACACCAGAGGGTGTTCAAAGATCACCCGTTGCTGTTAATAGCTTTTTAACCGTTTCGGTTTCCACGATCCTAATGTCGCCTTCCATCATCTGGGTTTGTTTTCTTTAACCTACGATTTTGTTATTTTTAGCTGCTGAATAATTTAGGGCTTGGTCTTGAACTCCTGAAGATCCTATCAGATTTTTGGGTAAGTGAGGGTATGATGGAGATTGGAGGCTGTTCGTTTTTCTTTCTTCTTTGTCAATGTAGGAATTTATATTTATGTTTAACGTTATTTACATATATGGCCACCACAAGAACAATTTGTATTCTTTTTGCTTATAAATCTGTCTGTCTCCTTCCCCTGCAATCAATTGGTTGATGCCTAGATATTATCTGTTTCTTGACACTTGATGGTTTCTAAATCTGTTTTTTTTTTCCTTTTTTCATTTAATTATTTATTTGTATTTTTGAATTTGAATCAGTGTTTCATTGATTTGTGGGTTGATGCCTAGATTTGTGTCTTGTTACTTGGTGGTTTCAAGATTTTCTTTTTTCCCCTCCTTTTCCCAGCAAAGATTGATGCAAATTGTTGATGCTATTAAAAGCCTTCCCTTTTAACTATATGGCTTTGTGAAAACCATAAGGATTTCTTGGGATCAATGGTCCTCCCATGTGGTTCATTTTGAGTTAAATGGTTCTTTAGGATTTAGGAACTGTGAATTAAGAAATCTATTTTAGAATCTAGGTGATAGCAGACTGTCCATCCTGGTCCAATTCTTTAGATTAATGACTGTGGTTCAAATGTGCACTGCAGCAACTAATTAATTGTTTACAGGTGGTGCTGGATGATGGGAAATCTCAATGGACCGTTGCTACCAATGACAACGCCATCTCATCTCAGCATGCAGTAACAAAATATCGAGTGATGAAATCTTTAGCTCATGGTTAGCTAAAAACTTGGCTACAGTGACCTTCTGTAGAAGATTATGGCATTGAATGGTGTCAATAAAGCTTTATAAATGGCATGTGGCTGTGCATACTTCTAGATCAGCAGCATACTTTGTAGGGTAAATCCAGAAATTTTTTTTCTTAGAGGGGCCAGATTGAATGCGTTAAACAAAAAGTGTACTGTTTTATTAAGATGTAATTCTAATATAGAAAAGATTTATCAAACTTATAAAAGAAGTTACTTGGTGAAAGTAGAAGGCTCAAAAGAGAAAGGGGAAGGCCAAAGGGGATGCATGTACATACAATTTGACTAAAGAAAGAGTTCTTGATGGAGTACAATGATTAATGTAGCTAATGATTAAAAAGAGGATTCTTGTAGCTGACCTGATATAGTTGGGATAGGGCTTATTTAGTTTATTGAATTTTATGTTGAACTTAAAAGTCATTTTTTAGGTTAATTAAATAATTGTAGATTAAAGTTATAGGTCATTTTTCATCTAATTCACTGGAAGTTATGTTTACCATTTTGATCTTCACAAAAAAGTTCTTTTTACCATTTACTTAAGACTATTCTTTTTTTCATTATCTTAATTTCATATTTAAATACATTAAGAAATATGGTGGATTCTATAAACAATGGGAAGACAGTCGAGTTCACTGCACAGAAAAGGTTCTTGATACGGTAGAAAAAAGAGAGAAAATAAGGAGAGAGAAAGAGAGAGAAGGGTCTCCAAGGAATGAAGAAGATTTGAACTAGTCTCTTCTCCTTGTTGACCTAAACTTTTATACTTTTATTCCATTTGAACCAGTCTCTTCTCCTTATGCCCTTGTGCATGGCAAACTTCCTGGTTTGATTTGTATGTTTCATTGCTTGCACCTTTATTTATTATCACACATAATGTTGGTCCTTTTTATGTTTGCTTATCTATGCTACAGGATACACATGGTTAGAGTTGTGTCCACTTACTGGTAGAAAACACCAGATCAGGTCGTACACTTTTTTCTAACCCCTTCCCTGATAACACAGCTCCGTGTCCACTGTGCTGAGGTCCTGGGGACACCAATAGTTGGAGACTACAAGTATGGTTGGCAAGCTCACAGGAAATGGAAACCTCTTTCTTGGTCAAACTCTCAGAAGAATAAGAAACTTCCAAGGTCAAAGGAGTGTCCATTTGGCCTTAGTTCAGAGGGTGGAAGCATTGTAGAGAAGCAGCCTCACCTGCATCTTCATTGTAGACAGATGATTTTGCCTAATATATCCCTGGCTCTACAACATTTGAAATCATCTTCAAATTGTGATCTTTCAGAACTGGAGAGCCTCAATCTGGTTGCACAAATATTTGTTTCCCCTTCTCCATTTATTTTTGTTCTCCATTTTTCATAGTCTTCTATGCCTTCTTCTTAGACAAATATTTGTTTGATTTAGATGGAGATTTAGATGGAGGGTAGCAAAGATTGGGTTCTGTCCACTAGATAGGATGGTTGCAGTTTGCAAAAAGATGAAATCTCCATCAATAAATTGCATGTGATTGATGGTGGAAATCATCCTTCAAGATTGGATAAAAGCACTTACAATCAAATGGATCAAAACCAAAGATGAAGATGAGGATAAGACAGTCAAGGCAATTACAGAGTTTGTTGGCGAAACTTCGAAGAGTAAGTGATGTGTGATGTCCTATAACTCTTGTCCTTGTGTGAGACATGTATCCATTCTATATCAGTGACATTTTGATATTTTTATATCATTTTGGTAGTCTATGTAAATATTTCCTTGTTTGTAAATCGCATAGTTGACAAGGTGTTTAGGTGACTTTGGGTGAACAGAATCTTGCCAAATTAATTGATATCTCGGTTCTCTCTGCCATTTCTGTTTTTTTTTTGGGGGGGGGTTTCAGCCAGAAACCACATGCAAATGTTTGAAACAAATATCCAATAGATTGCAAAAGGAAAAACAGATATCCACTTGCCCCTGCGAAAAGAAAAAGCTTACTGCTTCTTAGTCTTCTCTTGCTCCCCCTCTTCCGCTGCTTTGATCAATTAATCATTTGCTGCATTAATTAGAGAGAAACTGTGAGATCGGTAGTAAGGGAGGTTCAGGTTTTAGGTTGTCTCAGATCGTGTGAAAGAGGTTTTATACACTTGTGGTCCCTCGTCTAATAGGCAGATGGTGTACTGACACGATTCCCACGTCATCTATCCTTCGCTCCGCTCGATTCTCGCTTTTCGTTTCTCTCTGGAGTCCGGACAAGCAAACAACCAATCCACGTCATCCCAATGAATCATCATAGTAGGCCCAATGAAAGTGGGAATGGGCCAATAAATAGGCCTAATACCAAAACGAACGAGCTTTTTTAGCTTTGACTTGCCCCTGCATTGCATGGGCCTCTTCGCTAGTTTTTATTTAAATGAATATTAGGGTCAATATTGTCATTTTTCACTGTCATCTAATGAAAGATTGATTAAATTCATTACAAATTATAAGTAGAATTTTAGTAAAATGTTAATTATATAACCCTTTTTATTATTTAGCTTTCCCTTAATAAATTCTGTACATCGCACAGGTTCCTGCTAGTTGTGATTATAGTCCGCTAAAAAAGCACAAAATCTTGATATATAGTGACAGACATTTGTCAACCATCTATCACAAATGATTGACTTATGGTGACGAGCAACTTAATCATCATCACTAAATGGTAAGTTATAGTAAGAAATAATTTAATGTTTGTTGTAAAATCATAAAAGTTGATTTATAGTGATAAATAATTTAATGTCAATCACAAAATCTTTATTTATAGTGAAAATGATTAGATATTTGTTATACAATCTTTATCTTTAATAACGGAAAATTGAATGTTTTTCCTAAATTAAAATTACAGTATCTTCATTTTGGGACATTTTTTGTAGTGATATTTTCTCATAATTATTGTTTAAAGGTTATTTCATTTAAAATAATCTAATGAATTAGACATTTGAATGGTTGAATTGATACATCTAAACAATGGGCAATAGGTTATACATTTTATCAGTCCAACTAACCAAGACAAGGATAGTTTGCAAAACAATGTTACATACATATTTGATGAGAATAGAATTTATCACATTTTTATCCCCAAATATTCTTTGCATACTTAATTAGTATTTAATTGGACTCATATTTCTTGTATTTCGGTTCAGGGCATGAAATAAGGCATCAGGAGCAAAGAAAGGCAAATCGGATGATTTTTCACAATTTCGGCACCGTTCAATAATCTGGGCCTGACTCGCGTATCCGAACTTCGATTGGGCTGATTCAAGACCCACTGGATAGATAAGAGAAAAATCCACAACTTTCATGTTTTAGGCTTTCGCAGATTCGGCCTGCATCGAAGTCAAATCCGGGGCCGAAGTCGGGGCAAATTCATAGGAAGGCCCAATCCGCAGCTTAAGCCCAACTTGCAGAAAAGCCTGGCAGCAGCCCAATTCGCAGAGGAGGCCTAATACGAATCCAAGAACAAGAAACTGAGAAGAGTCTTATCAGATCTAAATTTATAATGTAATCCCATAAAGATAAAGAGATTGAGTTCATTAGATAAAGAGATAAGAGTAGGATTAGACTAAGACTTTCTATTTTTGAGAGATTAACTTCAAGAAAGAGTAGGAGACCACCCCCTCCCCTTAAACTATAT